GCGCCAATGCCCCAGGCTCCCTTGGCGGGCAGGAGCCCAGCCGAGGAGGCTGCTGAGAGCGCCGCCAAGCGCAGGAATGAGGAGGAGGCCGCAGTGGCTGGGGGTGGCCCGTCAGACGGGCGACACTCAGCAGACGCGGTGCGCCCGCGGCGGCTTGCAGATCCTCACGATCAACGCTAACAGTTGGTACTCTGCAAAGTCGCATATACTTGAGAGTGAGGCTCACATCGTACTCGTACAAGAAACAAAGATTGAAGGTCAAGTTATGTGGGATGAGCGTGAAAAGGTTCGCAGGTTGGGCTGGAAGTCATTCTGGGCACCATGTGCCATCGCGGCCAAAGGAGGCCGCAGCAGTGGCGTTGCGATTCTGTTTCGAGCGCATCTTGATGCCTGGCAAGCTCCAGGCCATGAGGAACCGCTTGTCCCACATCGATTTATTCAGGCATTTTTCAGACCCGAAGTTTTGGGCGTGGTCTCCGCGCACTGCGGCTGCTGGAAGGACGGCGAATGCCTGGGCCCAACCAACCTGCAGAAAGCAGCTGGGGGACAGCGTGCTCTTCCACTCGCTCCCCTTCATTGCGGGAGGAGATCGCAACCTCGAGCCCAGCGTTTTTCAGGAGGGCTTTGCGCCCTACAAGATGAACGGGCAGCTGGTGATTTCATCGCCCGCTGCAACATGCATGTCTGCCACGCCAAGTCGGTGTTGCGACTACTTTCTTGTGGCCAAGGTTTTGCTGCCTTGCATCGGCGCGGCTGAGGCAGATTTGATCTCTGAGTTGTATCCCCACAGGCCGGTGCTCCTGACCCTTAAGACGGATCTTGATAAGCTCACGGTACACCGGTTGAAGAAGTATGCCAAGCTCCCAGTGGACTTACCCGTGGGGCCAGCTCCAGAGCCCCCAGACTACCAGGACCTGGTGGACAACCTAGAAGGTATCATGCAGCCTGTTCAGGTTCCCGAAGGCTATCGACTTCTGCGACCTGATGAAGTAGGAGGGCTCCAAGCAGGTCTAGATGCTAACTACCAAACTTGGTGTGAAAGGTCTTGGGGACAGCTTCAGGGGTCTCCGCAATGTTACCCTCAAGGGGCCCGAGGAGGTAGCCCGCACATCACTCAGGAGATTCCCTTAGGCGAGCTGCTCTTCACCAAGAGGTCCCCCACCAGGAGCCCTTATCGTGCGATGCATTGGCTGTCTCAGAGGACCCGCGAGTTGTATAGTCTGCTCAGGGGTGGCAATTATTTGGCACATTCAGATTATTTCAGAAGCTTGGTTCGCTCGACTCGGTCAGCGACGAGGACAGGATGCATTTTCAAGTGTCATTTTCCTGGCGGTCTAGATCTGTGGGCCAGTCTGCTCCGTGAAGCGGTCAATTCACTTCGGGTCCCAGGTGTAGTCGAGTATCTGGAGGTTCGTGCTGGGTCACTTCTTGCCCTTCATCATCTTGCCTCCTATACGTCATCCATCTACCCCCCCCCCCCCCCGTGAAAAAGCATGAAAGCACAGAAATGGAGAGACTGGTGTTCAGAGGCTTTGTCAGGTGGAGCGAAGTGGGCTCACGCCTACACCATGGTGGCGGCCGACAAGCGCCAGGCCTTGCTCCCGACAGACGACGGCATGCACGCGTCGTGTCTCGCCAGCCAGCTTTTGGATGAGGTCCATAAATGGAGGAAGGCATGGGGAGAGGATCAGAAGGAGGAGAACGAGGAGCTAGAGTGGCCCCATGACATGATCATTCCGAAACCTCCAGATGCAGAAGAAATCAGGGTTTGGAGCAAGAGTTTCAAACGTTCGACGATTGCAGCTGACGGATTTCATCCTCGTCACCACCATCTTTTATGCCGGCCTGCTCTTGCAGTCTTCAGCCTGGTCATGGGCCTTGCGACCGCGCTCGGTTCCACGCCGAGCTGGATGCGTAAGCTTGTTGTGGCCCTCTTCCAGAAGCCCGTCTCAGGCAGGCGCCCGATCGGATTCTTTCAGAGCCTAATCATAATGACATCCCAATGGCATTCGAGGCGCCGCAAAGAGTGGGAGAAGAAAGTTTCCGATCAAGGTGTATTTTCCATGGCCCCTGGCCGCAGTGCTGTCGACGCTGTTTGGAGGCAACAGATACGTGGAGATCTAGCTGTCGCAAACCGTCAAGAGTCTCTAACTGTTCTTGGAGATCTAAAGCAATGTTATGAACATGTTCTGCATCCGCAACTAGTTCGAGCATGCGCAGACTGGCAGTATCCCCTATTCACGGTACGCTTTGCTATGCGCACATATCAGTGGGCTAGGGTACTCAGTATGGAGGGGATGGTCTCGGAGGAGTTGGAGCCTGGGCAGGGGATCGTAGCTGGGAGTAGCACTGCGACGTTTGAAATTAAATGTTACTGCATACCCACTGTAAATCGTTTCCTGGAGCTCGGGTTCGCACCTGCTTTAGCTGTTCGCATAGACGACTTCTCGCTGAACATGCATGATAGTTGTATTCACAGTTGTGTTAGAAATACGGCCCTGGCTATGGCATTCTTGGTAGAGCAGTTGTCCTCTCTCTTCAACCTGCGCTTTGTCTTAAACAAGTTTGCGATCACTGGTGCCAGCGCCGAGCGTGTGGAGCTCGCGCAGGGCCAGCTGGGCCAGTGCGCTGGCGAGTTTAACCATTCTATCATCAACTTGGGAGTGGACTTTGCGCCTGGGAAGACCAAGTCCAGACTCCAGGCTAAGGCTAAACGAAAGGAGAGGTGGAGGAAAGGGAGGTCTCGTCTTGCCAAGATTCGCAGCCTGAAAAACCCGAAACGATCCAGGGCCAAGGTTCGGTTTTGTGGAGCCAAACCGGCGACGACGCACGGTGAGGAAGTGGCGGGGTGGACGCCCCGAGAGATCAGGAAGCTTAGGTCGCAGGCCCTTGCCCTGGAGCCCAGCAAGGGCCGATCAAACGTGCAGGCGCGGCCTTAACACGTTTTGCAAAGGAGTTCTGGTTAACCACGGACGAGAAACTTCGGCCTGGGGACTGCTTTGCTGTGGGGGATATGGTCAAGCTGGTCCACGAGGTCCGTCGTTTTCAGGGGCGTCGTCCGAATGCTTCCTGGGATTGTTTGGCTTGGGGCCCTGTCGGGGATATGCTGCAATGGATTTCCAGAGCTGGATGGTCAATCCGTGGTCCTGGGATGTTTGCCATGCGGGAGGGGCCCCCCTGTGTACTTTCAGATAGACCGTATGTTCAGTCTCTAAATATTTCGTCAGGGACTTAGGTAAGGAGTTCGTGCAGCAGAGCACGCAGCGTAGGCTTAAGGACAGTGAACACGAGCGAGCTGCTGAGATTTTGGAACGTGGTGGTTGGACCCCCCTCGGTCTTTCTGGGACTCTAAGCGTCCGAGCAAGCTCCAAAAACGTGTAATGAAGCAAGTGTTCACTCGGTCTTTCGTGACGGCCAGTCACCTGCACAAGTGGGGCTACCAGCTTGAGCCGCTCGGCCCGTTTTGTCGCGACGGAGTGCGCGGCGCCATCGACGGAGCATGGCACAGGTGCTTTGAATATCCTGCTCTGGCAGATCGCCGAGCTGGGCATCTCCCTGCTGAATGGGCTGCAGCAGGACTGGAGGCAGGACCAGAGGATCCGTTTTTCAGTTCTTTGTGGCTTCCAGTGCCGAACGACCTGCACGAACCGACCTGGGAAGGAAATATATTTTTCGTGGGCCCCGACGGGCCCGTCGAACCGCTCCGATTCAACAAGAACGAGTTTCTATATAGCGATGGGTCCTGTTATGGTGGTACTTATGATATGGTTTCTAGAGCTGGTAAGGGTTTTGTATCAGTTAACGAGGAGGGAGGTTTTACCAGAGGCATCTGTGGTAATGTTCCTGGCTTCCTTCCCCAGAGTTCAGCTTTCGGAGAAGTGTATGCGCTCCTGTCTGGCCTCGCGCACCTCGAGCCAGATCAGGAAGACGACCCCGATGGGGCCGAGTACTTGATTCACATTGATTGCGAAGCTTTGCTAGGAGGATATCGTGATGCTTGGAAGGCTATTTCAGGTGCCAGTCCGCTGTCAGTAGTATGGCGCGCCCTTGATCGTTCAGCAGTTCCCCAGTAGAGTGTGAAAAAAGTCAAGGCCCATGCGACAGGAGAGCTCACGGGAGTTGCCCTGCGTCACCAGCGTGACAATGACAAAGCCGATGAGTTCGCTAAAGATGGAGCTAAACGTCACCACCCAGAGGTCCTCAATGACATTAACAAGTACGAGGTGTGTCTAGCAGGCTGGGAGGAAGTAGCTTTAGGTATGGCCAATATTCTCTTAGAGCTCCCGAAAGCGAAAGCTCTTTTCGGCGATTTAGCCCGCAATCCGTCCGTCCCGAGGCCGAAGGCTGTCTCCAGCGGTCGCCCTCACCGAGTGCTTTGGACTGGTTCGGCGTGGAGGTGCGTGCAATGTGCTCGCACCTTCCGTAATCAGAAACCCAAGAGCCCGTGTGCCGTTTTGACCCCCAGCCTAAGGCAGGTGGTGGAATTAGAAGTCTCTCCCCCACACAAGTTGCATGTGTGTCGTAATGTAGAGACTAATGTACCTTTAGTGTTTTGTATGCGTCGCGGGGCCTACACTTCGGGCCTTCCCCGAAAAATCGGTGAGCCCTGCAATAAAATCTTTAAGCAACAGAGGTCTCATATTCTGAATCGCAAGTGCCCATGGCCCAAGGGCCTGCACTTGACGCGCCCCTGGCCCTTGGCTCGCCCAGAAGAGGAACCTGGCGGCGAGTGGTGGGGCAAGATGCGCTACCTCTAATTAATTGTTAGTTCCCATTCACCTTCTTATTTTCCCACAGCCCTTATCGATCATGGTTTGGAAGGAGCAATGAGAGAGCCACTGGAAAGGAGGAGGAGCGAGGATCGAGGACCGAGGAAGGGGAAGGGCCCGAAGAGCCCCACGAGCTGTGTGCCCATCCCCCCCCTAACGTTGGCCCCCGAGGCGTCCGTCGCCGGGCGGGCGGGCGAGCACGCCCGCGGCGCGCGGCGCCCGGCCCGGCAGGTCAGCCGCATCCTCAAGCACGTCGAGTCGGTGACGAAGAGTGCGCCCCCCGCCCGCCTTTGTCGACTACACGTAAGAGTGACCTTTCGCTGGAGTGACCTTTGGTACAATGGGGTCCCCCGATCACCGATTGCGATGCGATAGTAGCGTCTTGCGCGCCTGAGTTTGGCCCCCCGCGGCCCCCAAAAAGCCCGCGCACCAAAGGTCACTCTTACCCAGGGTCACTATTGCGTGTGGCCGACTTTGGTAGGGGAGCAAAGAACGGCATCAGCATACCAACTGTCGGAGGTCCGCGCGGAGTTCTCGGGTCGGCGCTGGGGCCCCCTGGCGGCGCCTCCGGCGCCGCCCCCGGCGCCGCCCCTGGCGCGTTCCGCGCGCCAGGGAGGGGGATCCAGCGCCGATCCGGGCAATCCGCGCGGACCTCCGAGTTGTTGTGTTTATGACATTGTTTCCCTATTGGGGGGCGGCCGTGATCGCGGAAGAAAAACGCAATTAATGCTCATAATTCAGGCGATCGCATAAATGGATCATGGGGGCGTGGATTAGCGACGGGTCGCGCGGATTTCCGCCGCCGAACGAGGCGGCACCGGCCGCACTTTGGAGAGGGCGCCTCCCCCGATCCATGGAATTGGCGACCACGCGCCAAATCCATGGATCGCTAATCCATGTTTATGCGCCCCCGAAAGAAGAAGAACGCCATGGTGCCCCCTTGGCGGCGCCTCGGGCGCCGCCCCTTTCGCTCTTCGCGCCGCGCCAGGGACTGGGGCTTAGCGCGGATCCAAGAAGTCCGCGCGGAGCGCCAAATCTTCACGTTCATGCAGTTTCTGTTCCCCTTCTAAGGAGGGCGGTGATGACTCGGAATGACTCGGGGGGGGAGGGGGGGGTGCGAACTTCGAACCCTGCCTTCGCCGATCAACGATGCAGGCAGCTCGATGGGCGGCAGGGGGGGAGGGGAAATCCGAACCCTGCCCCCGCCTCCGATCCGATTCGGGAGAATCGATGGTTGGTGGGGGCAGGGTTCGGATGTCGCCACCCATACCTATAGGCTATAGGGGTGGTATCATGGCGGGGGGCCACGATGTCTCCCTGGATCTCATGGTCCCTCCTCTTAGCCCAGTGCTCGGGGGTGGACAGACCTCCTACCCTGACACGTCGATTAGCGACTTGGCCGTTTTCGGTTTGCGAGAGGGCGTCGCGCCCGTCATTTTTGCGGGTCCAGGTCCGTCGGTTTCGGTCCCAGGCCGTTTTCACAAAAGGGAGCTTTACTAAAGGGAGGTTTGTCCACCGCCGAACCATGGGGGGGGTACTAAGCATCGTTTAACCGACCCCCATTCCCATCCCCTATCCCCTTCGAGACTCCCACCAAATAACCCCCCCAGTTGGGGGTACACGCCTCGAAACCCGAAGGGAGGTTGACTGAAGGGAGGTTTGTCCACCCCCGAAGTGCGTTCCCTGCCACTTCTGTACCGCGCACAGGCCTCGGGCCATGCTCTGCAAGCCCCCCTCCTGAACGCCTCCCCTCCTGGGCGCCCCCCGACCGCCCGCAGCCCCCTCGGGGTCCAGGGGGGGTGTGGGGCTCGCAGGTCGAGGCTCGACAGCCGAGGACGATCGAGGGGAAGGAGGTCCGAGGACCGAGAAAGTGGAGGGGGAGGACGAGGAGGAGGCGGAGGAGGAGGAGGAGGCGGAGGAGGAGGACGAGGAAGAGGAGGAGAAGGAGGAGGGATAGCATCGAGGAGGAGGAGGAGAAGGAGGAGGAGGATGGTCGAGGAGGAGGAGGAGGTTCCAGGAGGAGGAGCTGGAAGAGGAGGAGGAGGAGGAGGAAGATCGAGGATTGGCACGTCGAGTCGGCGACGAAGAGTGTTTTCCATTCGTCGCCCGCCGCTGCCCGAGAGGAAGGATTCAAAATCCAAAAATCTGATTATGTCCGCGTCTTGGTTCCCATCCCTCCCGTGTCGTGGGGCCCTCGTGTGGAGTCCGCAGCGCAGCGCGTCTCCTCTCCTCCGTGCCCCCCCCCTCCTTCCCTACCCCCCTCGTTCCCTCCCCCCTTCCTCCTGCCGATCCTCCTCCTCCTCCTCCTCCTCCTCCTCCTCCTCTCCTTCCTTCCTCCTCCCCCTCCTCCTCCTCCTTCTCCTCCTCCTCCTCCTCCTCCTCCTCCTCCTCCTCTCCCTGGTCCGCCTGCCGATGTCGGCGCACCCATCGGTGCGGATCGTCGCCCTTTCACGGGGTTCGCCGGGGGGAAGCAGGGCGTGGATAAGAGCGTGGCCCTAGAGGCCAGGGCTCTAGCCATGCCGCCGCCCGTGGCTCCTGCTGGGGGGGAGGAGGAGGAGGAGGAGGAGGAGGAGGAGGAGGAGGAGGAGGAGGAGGAGGAGGAGGAGAAGCAGGAGGAGGAGGAGGAGCAGCAGGAGGAGGAGGGGGAGGAGGAGGAGGGCGGGTGATTCTGCTGGATTCTGGTAGCCATTCAACCGGTTTGTCAGCATGAGAGCACAGCCGATGATAATGAAAACGCGGCTGAGATCTCAAACACAGCGCGTCGCCCCCCCCGCGGCGGCGGCGTTGGCGCCCGCGCTCCGACGCGGCACACCGGCCGCCGCCGCGGGGGCCTCCGGCCCCAGCCTTTGAGCCAGGCGGCGAGCGGAGGAGGGGGCCTGGGGACCCCTAGCTGGGAGGGGAACACAGCAAGGGGGGAGTCCAGGTCGCCAACCCCCGATCGCCCTCCTGGGGGAGACACTCCCCAAGCCCCGGAAAGGAGCCCCACCTCCGCCGGCCGTTGGGTCGGTCGCCCGCCCGTCGGTCGTCGCCCACTGCATCAAGCCAGTTGCAGCCCCTGGTTTTCCATCCCGACCTCCGGCCGGCAGTCGACCACTTCGGGTTCCCCGACCATCCCAGTGTGCTCACCGGGCCCCCAGCTTTGCGGGGGGGAAGGAGGGCGGAGGATGATTAGGAGGAGGAGGAGGAGGAGGAGGAGGAGGAGGAGCTGGAGGAGGAGGAGGAGGGCGGAGGAGGAGGAAGGGGAGGAGGAGGAGGAGGAGGAGGAGGAGAGGAGGAGAGGAGGAGGAGGAGGAGGAGGAGGAGGAGAGGGCGGAGTGTAAACAAGGGTATGGATAGGATGTCCGTCGCCTACGAGGGTCAGGAGGGAAAATCACTCACAGAAGCATTGAATAGTCGACTCCCATGAAAAAGGCCAGAGAATATGGGAAGAAGGGGGGGAGACGAAAGTCCAGGGAATCTTGGGATTTGCGTGTGTGTGCTTACTTGTGTGTCCCTGGGTCCCTTGGGAGGGGCACCGCACCCGGAGGGCAGCGCCCGCGGGGCGAGCCGCATCCTCCGGAGGAGAGGGTGGCGCCTTCCCCTGGGCCGCGCAGGCCCCTGGGACTATGATGTTCCGATCGGATCCTAGCCTTGAGCACTAGAAAGAATCTCGAGCACCACGACAGTACCGACAATTGGAAAGTTCTCACGTGCCCGGGCCCTGGAAGGCGGCACTCGTGCGACACCGTTTCGACACTGTGCTGGGTGCTCGGAATTCCCCACTCAGCGCTTGCATTTGACGAAAGCTTCCCGCCGATTTTGGTAGCAGGCTGAGTTCCCCCGTTCCCGGATCCGGGTTCCGATTTCGGTGGGTGCTGGGTTCCCGGGCTCCCGAGTTCCCGGTCGATCTCCTTAGCGAAAACCATCCATTGATTGGTCGATGTGGCCAAACGTTGGGCCAAAGTTTGGCCAAGTCATTGGAATATGGGTTCGCCCAGACGTTGTGGAGACCCTTTGGGAACGCTTAGGGACAGAAACGAGAGGAGGAGTAGAGAGAGGAGGAGGAGGAGGAGGAGGAGGAGGAGGAGGAGGAGGAGGAGGAGGAGGATGTGGTCTTTGAGTGCGATGGGAGCAGCACAGCCCTGGGAGCGCGGCGCCGCGCGCGGGCGGCGTCTGGCACGGAGGCCGCGGCGCGCAGCCGCCATCAGATGGGGCCTCGCTGCGGGGCCGCGTCTCGAGGCGCGTCTCGATGCCTCCGACTCGATCCGCTTCGATCTCGATGGCCTCCCGATTTCGATACGCCGCGTCTCGAGGCTCGTTTCGCTTCGCTTCCGATGTCGATTTCGAATCGCTTCGCGTCTCGAGGCTCGTGTCGATGCCTCCGACTTGATCCGATGGCCTCCCAATTTCGATCCGATTCGACTTGGGCTCCTGAGTTGGGTTCCGATTTCGGAGCGGAGGCCTGCTGGTAAGTCGGGCGTGTCCCCCTACAGGGGGATTTCCGACGAAGAAGAAACAATACCCCAAAAATACCCCAACAAGGTAAAACAAGAAATTCAAAAATAGTCCCCAGACTATGTTTGGACTTTTGCTTTTTTTTCAAGGTATTTTTTTTATTTTTCGTCGAAGATCCCCCTGTAGGGGGACATGCCCGACTTGAGCCTACTGGCCTGCCGATGTCTGCCGATTCGACTTTTCCCGACTCGGCTGCCGATCTCCGCCGATCCGAGCCGTTGCGGTCGTCGGTCCGACTTCTCGGCTCGACTCTGGGGTCGCCTGGCCGCGTCTGCAGCCCAAGCAGTTTCCAGGGCGGGTGTGCCCCGAATCCAAAGCTTGGCATCGCTCGGGCGTGCGCACTTTTCCTTCGGCGAGGACCGTCAAGGAGCACCCTTGATCAGTTGGGGAAAGAACCGGGCGAAGAGAACTATGCACATGCACCGATCCTGACAACGCCCATCCTTGACCCAGGATCGGTGCATATACCTTCCTGGCCAAGGTAAGAGGGCGTATGCACCGATCCTGGGCTCAGGGTTGGGCCTGGTCAGAATCGGTGTATGTGCATCGCTATCTTTCCTCAAAAAACCACGCACGAAACCGAAAAAAACACAGGGAATGGACGTCCGAGCGATGGCCAGAAAAGGGCCCTCGCGTGCTCATCGTGGGCACCCCCTGCAGCCCGCACGGGAGCGTCGCCTCGCCCTCCTCTCCACCTCTCTCCCGTCCTTGACACTCGTCGTTCTCATCCCCTGGCATCGCTCGGACGTGTGCGTCTTGTTTTTCCGACGCAGAATTTATACATGACCACCGCTTGGAGGGTCAGTTTTCGGAGCCTCGACAGGCGGTGGATATGGACATCATGGGGACCCCGGGTGCCGAAATACATCCACATCCACCGCCCGTTGGGGCACCAGGACGTCGGTTCCCTGGCGGTGGATATGGATAAATCCCCGCCTCGCAATTTTCTATTGGCGAGGAGCATCCTGGATCATCCTGCGAAACATGAACGCACGAAACCGAGCAATGCACGTGTAATGGACGGCCGAGCGATGGTAATGTCATCATGCGCACTCACATGCTCAACAGCAGCATCACCATCATCGTCAGCACACCACACATATCACACACCCCTTCACACACATTCACACAGACACACACGCACTCACGCACTCAGTCACACTCACACTCATGCCCTCTCGCACTCACTCGCACACTCATACCCATATTTCGCGAACGTCTCGACCGGGAGCCTCGTCTGCGAGGAAGTCTCTAGCGGGAACCCCTGCCCACGGGGTCCCACCTTTTGTTTCTGATCCGAGGGTGCCATCGGAACCCTGTAGTTGTCGCCACTGGTTAGCAGGGGGCGAGGATGGTGCAGGAGAATGCGGGATGCTGATGATGATGCTGCTGATGATGATGGTGATGATGATGATGATGATTATGATGGTGGTGATGATGATGATGTTGATGGTGACGATGATGATGATGATGATGATGATGATGATGATGATGATGATGATGATGATGATGATGGTGATAGTTATGTTGATGCTGATGCGGATGCTGGTGATTATGATTAATATGCTGGTGTCTACGGTACTATGGTATGGTGAGGAGATGGTGATGCTGATTCTATGTGTGATGGTGTTTGTGATGATGGTGAGGATGATGATGATGTTGATATCGTTGACGAGGATGTTGATGATGATGGTGGTGATGATGATGGGTATGGTGATGATGATGATGACGATACTGGTGTTGGTGGTGATGATGGTTGTGGTGGCGGTTGTGAGGATGCTGATGACGATGATGCGATGTTGATGCTGGTGTTAATGATGATGCTTGTGGTGGTGGTGGTGGTGGTGATTGTGATGATGATGACTATGATTATTGATGATGATACTGATGATGATTATTGATGATGATAGTGCTGATGATGCCGATGATGATGATGATGCTGATGATGATTACTGATGATGATAGTGCAGATGATGATGCCGATGATGATGATGATGATGATGATGATGATGATGATGATGATGATGATGATGATGATGATGTTGATGACGATGATGATGATGATGATGATGATGATGATGATGATGATGATGATGATGATGATGATGAGCTGGCAGGAGGAAAAGAACGAGGAGGAGGAAGAGGAGAAGGAGGAGGAGGAGGAGGAGGAGGAGGCAGGAGGAGGGTGAAGATGGCGGAGACAGGTTGAAGGCCTCCACAACCACCACTACAACAAGCACAAGGACGTAGAGGATGGCTAGCCTGAGGCAAACTAGGCAGATTCTCATGCTAAGTCCTATCGCTGGGGTAAGTATTAACGTGACGCGTTTCCAACCAGCCCATCCAGACAAGTTGCCCAGATGAGCAGCCCTGACAGGGGGAGCATGGCATCATTTGAAGATATCGGTAGCCTGTGTGGGCCAGAGGCCCCTTGGAGGCTTCCTTGGGTCTCTTGGGGTGTTTGTATGTGGACCCTTAAAGGCATGCTAGGGCGTCCTGAGGGCATCTTGCTGGCTCTGGGGGGGCATCTTGCAGCGTGTTGGGTGCCTCTGGGGGTCTCTTGGAGCTCTCTTGAGGACTTCTCCGGCCATCGTTGGATCTTCTGGGAGACTATCGATCAAAGAAGGGGGGCACCAAACTTTCGCCGAAAACGGAACGAAAATAAGTGATGTGTGCATTCCCGCTGAGGCCTCCTTGGACGCTCTAATGGGTCGTGGGGAGCCCCCTCCAGACCCGAGGGGAGGTGATTGGAGGAGGCATCGCCCTAAACCACTGATGGCTCTCGCTTTTGCAGCCTCCCGAGTAGTTCTGTTGGCGGCCCCGGAGACCGTGCAGGGACACCCTGGGCCACGCAGGCGACGGAAAGCTTGCAGGACGCGCTTCCAGCGCCCCCGCAGGCCCCTCCAGGCTCCCCAGAGCACTGCCCCGAGCTCCCCCGCAAGGGATCGGGAACCGCACGTCCCCTCTCCTGGGGTCAAGTCGGGCGCTTCCCTCTACAGCAGAAATAGATTCAAAAATAGCAAAAGAAGACTCGTCTGGGGACGATTCTTGGGGTATTGTTTGAGAATGTGTTCAATACTTGTTGGTTATGTTTCATTTCTCGTCCAGAACCCACCCGTAGGAGGCCACGCCCGCCCTGATCCTAGGGGGCGGCAGGCGGAGTGGCCCGGCGTGAGTGGCGCGCGCGCCGCTGGAGCAGACCACAGCCCGCGCAGGGTGCGGCCTCAATGCCCACGGGCCCCTCCAGCCCCCCCGCAGGCATCGTGTCGTCGCTGTGCAGCCCGCTCCTGACCTTCATCGGCTCCGTGGTCGCCCCTGGAAACCCCAACTCCTCCCCCTCCCCCCCTCCCCCGCCCCCTTCCCCCTCCCCCTCCTCCTCCTCCTCCTCCTCCTCGTCTTCCTTATCACTCTCCCCACCCGTGGCGGCACGTGTCGGGTCCCGCTGGTGCCACAGTGCTTGCACTACGAGAACTCGGTTGGGCCACTATCAGCAGCACTGTTTGGAGGACGGACCTAGGGGTTCGGATCAACGTTCGTGATGAGGCGCCGTCCACCATCCGTCAGCTTGCTAGAGATGCTGGAGTGCGACGACTATGGGAAAAGTGGGCCCGACGGCCCCCTCTCCCAGGACACGATGCCATTCCTCGAGAGCCTATTGGATATTGGATTGAGCCAATATTGCAGATCCTATCCAAGGTTGAACTACACGAAGGCGACGACTCAGGGAATGAGGACGAGCAAGGCGATCCCGATCACGAGGATGATGCATGCCCGACCCCGCCCCCTGTTGGACCCAACCCTTTTGCTGACAAGTGGAAGCCCTCCCTCAAAGAAGCAGGCCTATTACGTGCGTATCTGGGAGGCGGTCTTTGGAGCCCATCAAGGCTTGCGAAGTGTGGATACAAGGACACAAACACATGCCCTCGGTGTACGGTGGCATCATGTGATTTGTATCATATTGTGCACGAGTGTCCAGCACTACATACACAGCGTCAGCTACACATGCCTCACATTCGCACGGAGGGTTTCCCTAGGCAAGTGCGTGACTCTATGTTATGGTCGGCAGGACTCGTCTCTCTCATGCTTCCCACCGCTACCACCACGGGACAACACTGGGCACTGGCACATCCAATATGGCGACCCGCAAGGTATCACAGGAAACGTGTACACAGATGGTGCGTGTCAGCGTATGTGGTACTGGCCTGAGGCCGCACGTGCAGGTTGGGGGTTTTGTCAGTTGAGTGAGCCGCCTCCAGGGGTTGATATTATTGTTTTTGGGGCTTTCCCAGGCCCCGTGCAGTCCTCGCCCAGGGCCGAGCTTTCCGCTTTCCTTCAGGTCCTCCAGGTCTGCCTCCCCCCCGTGTGTGTGTGTGCACACCGACTTCGAAGGCCTGGTTGACGGCCTTGCCCTTGGAACCCGACGGTGCTGCTCGCCTCGGCGTTTAAACCCCGACCTTTGGGAACGCATATGGGCCAAGATTTCTGATCTGGGCGAGGTGGGGTCTGATGTGAGAGTTACCCTAGTTAAAGGACACCAGCAGGGCCAGAGCACCGATGCCCGAGGCAACCGGTGGGCCGACCTTGCTGCGCGCAGTGGCAGAGACCTCCACTCCATCCCCAGAACGCAGGTCAAAGCTATGAAGCTTGGCCACCAACATTACACTCGCATCCTGCGATGGAGTACTACTGCCCTGGGGCTTTTCTTTGGCGAAAAGCGGGTTGACACTCGGCCCCGCAAGAAAGCTTGCCGGCGCCCTCGGCGAGCCACGGCCCCTCTGGAACCCAAGGAGGAATCGGTTCATCTGCGCCATGTTTTCACCCAGGTTCCCCATCGCAGCATTTGGAGGTGCGAGTTTTGTAGGAAGGGCTCGAAGCTGGAAAGGACCCGTCGTCGTCTCTCTGAGCTTGCCTGCCCTGCTCGTTTGCGCGCTGCTGCCGCCATCCCTCGGCACCCCTCCACTGTCACTCCTCCTGGACACGCTGCGCGCGCCCAGGCTGGCAACGAAGGGCAGATGCCGACGAATGAGGGCAGCAGCTTCGGCGCTGCCGTGCGATCTCGCTCCCCCTCGGACTCGTTTCGGTCGGTGCGCCCTCGGACGGTGTCCCCCCCGCGTGGCCAGGTGAGTGTCCAAGGGGAGGCCTATCCCCCCCCTCCCTCCTCGGGCCTGGATAGCCCTTCCTCGCCTCGCCCCCGTAGCCCCTCCCCTGGCTTTGAAAGGCACGTCAGGCCACGCGTGGGCTTCGAGCCCGTCGCTGTTGCGTGGGATGGAGCTGCGAGTGCCCAGGCTGATGCCACTGCCAGGGTTCTTTCTTTTCCAGAGCGCTCGGGACCCACCTTCCTCCCAGACAAGCGGAGGCGGATCGGCTCCAAGCGCCCAAGTCGGCCCTCGCTGGCCGACACGACAGTACCAGCCAAGCCCATGCCAGGAGCGGGCCCCGTTCCTGCCATGGCCGCTCGCGGCCACAGACTCTGGGTTTCCTCGGGTCATGTTTGCCTGTGCGTGTCCTGTGGGGCTTTCACGACGGGCGCAGCTGGTCACCTCCTAATTGATTGCCCATCGGGGAGCACGCACCGTTTATCAGAACGGGCGGCGCGTAACCGACGCCTTTTCATGCAGGGTTTTCGTCCCGCGGACGAAGGAATGGAGGGCTCACGTCGAGTTCCCGCACCTCGTCCGCTACTCGTCTCAGACCCTGAGACTCACTGGGTCAGGCTCCACGGGAGCCCACCTTCTCACCCAGGCTGCGGGACTTAATCCTCCGTCTCTTTGTCTGCGTGGCTGGTACCCGAGATCCTTTTTGGTGGGGTCCCAGCCTCTTCACAGGCCAGCCAGGCTGCCAGCAGCTTGGCGCCCTTGGTGGGCGCTCGTGCACAGCGCGACGCTTTGCTCGGCAGTGCCGTATCCTCCTCCTCCTCCTCCTCCTCCTCCTCCTCCTCCTCCTCCTCTCCTCCTCCTCCTCCTCCTCCTCCTCCTCCTCCTCCTCCTCTTCCTCCTCCTCCTCCTCCTCCTCCCCCTCCTCCCGCCCCCCATTCGGCCCTCTTTTTGAGGGGGGCACGTTCAGGGGCAGCATGAGCTAGGCACGAGGTTTTCGGATGTTGTCGCCCGTCCTCAGCGTGTTTCCAGCCTCGCAGTGACGACCTCCAGCAGCTGCGCCTCGCCGAGGGTTTTCCGGGGCTGCCCAGATCGTCCCGAGCGGCCGCCGGGCGCCCGAGCTGCTACTTCTGATCCACCAAGGCAGAGGTTCGGGGGGGAGACATCGTCCCCCAATCGGCCACTCCTGATGGCCCGTTCCGCCGAGGGCCGTGCCGACACTCTATCGAGGGCATTCCGCTGCTGGATCGTCGACGCGTCGCCGATTCCAGCTCGATGCTTCCCCCCCTGAGCCGCCCCCCCCCCTCCCCCCATTTGCTTCTTCTGATCGGGGGTGGACAGACCTCCTACCCTGACACGTCGATTAGCGAATTGGCCGTTTTCGGTTCGCGGGAGGGCGTCGCGGCCGTCATTTTTGCGGGTCCAAGTCCGTCGGTTTTGGTCCCAGGCTGTTTTCAGTAAAGGGTGGTGTAGTAAAGGGAGGTTTGTCCACCGCCGAATCTTGTCCATATCCAAGGCCTCGCAGGTCGTGCCCTTTGGGCCACGACCCCACGGACACGAAGCGTCTTTCCGCGGACGCCCCACGCGGGACGTATCGTTACGGCCGCGCTGCTTTCCGGATCGCGCCCAGGGGAGGCATCGACCCCCGATCGCGGGTTGGTCGCCGACATGTGCCGGCAGTCCACCCCGTCCAGAAACGTGGGGATTCGTTGTCTATCGGTGGCCTATCGCCGACCTAACGGCGACGCATCGCCACTTCCAGCTCGGTGTGTTCCCCTCCTGGACCAGTCCCCCCCGTTCGTTATTCCTCTAACCTATCCACGGCCTCGCGAACGCGGGCCCATGGGCCGCCACCCCATAGACATGGGGAGTTTTCCCGCGGATGCGACGACGAGCACGACGACGACGACGACGACGACGACGACGACGACGTTAACGGCGACGACGAGCACGAGGGCGGCGACGACCACGACGACGGCGACGACCACGACGACGGCGACGACGGCGACGCCGGCGACGGCGGCGACGACGGCGTCGACGGCGACGGCGAGGACGACGACGACGGCAAGGACGATGACGACGACGACGATAGTGAAGACGACGACGACGACGGCGACGCAGGCGACGTCGACGTCGACGACGACGACGGCGACGACGATGACGACGACGACGTTGGCGATGAAGACCACGACGACGACGAGCATGACGACGGGGACGACGAGCACGACAACGACGACGACGACCACTGCGACGACGACGGCGACTGCGACGACGGCGACGACGACGACAACAATGGCGACGACGACGACGACGCCGACGACGACGACGACGACGGGCGACGACGACGATGACGACGACGGTAGCGACGATGACGATGGCGACGACGACGACGACGACCAGCACGTCGGCGACGACGACGACGTCGACGGCGACGACGACGCCGACGACCACGACGACGACGACGACGACAGCGTCGACGGCGGCGACTGCGACTACGACCACGACCACGACAACCACGACGGCGACGACGACGGCGACGGCGACGGCGACGGCGACGACGACGACGACGGCGGCGACGAAGGCGACGACGACGATAGCGACCACGACGACGACGACGATAACGACGACGGCGACGACCGCGACGACGACGACGACGGCGACGACGACGACGACGACGACGACGGAGACGGCGACGACGGCGACGGCGACGACGACGATGGCGACGACGACGACGACGACGGCGACGACGACTGCGACGGCGACGGCAACAACGACGACGTCTAGCATGACGACGACGACGACGACGACGACGACGGCGACGGCGACGGCGACGGCGGCGGCGTTGCCGGGGGCCGGCGGCCAGGGCCGCGGGCCGCGGCGGGCCCGCCCAGGGGCCCGCGCCCTCGGCGCCTCAGGGCCGGCGCGCGGCCGGCAGCTTCGCACCGCGCTCCAGGCCGTCGGAGCTGCTGCGCTAGGGCTCGCACGTGGCCCCCTAACCCTAGCTGCTGTAGGGGCGTCCCGCCCCAGCGCCGCTCCGGCAGCTTTCCCGTGGCCGCACGCCGGCGGCGCGCGCCACGGCCACCCCTTCGGCGGGGGCCCCGCGCGCGCCAGCGTGCGCCTCACCCGGGGAGTGCCGCGCGCGGTGCTCACGGCGGCGACCCCGAGGAGCGCACGCGCCGGGGGCCCCGCAGCAGACGCCAGCGTCGAGCGGGCTGGGAAGCAGGATTGGTATCATCTGGTCATCCGCGCGCGGCCCTGGTTGGTCGTCGCGGCACTGGTCTTGCAGAAGTGTGCCGCGGACGGCCTGACCTGGTACACCCGCACGCGTGGCGCCACGACGTACTCGGGATCCAGCGTCGCCTTCCTGAGTGAAGTGCTCAAGTTCCCGGTGTTGGCGGTGGCCATTTGTGTGTTCGAGTCTCCCAAGAAGGTCCTCCCAACGTTCAGGAGTTCGACTCGAAACGTATGGTTGCTGGCGTGGGTCGCGGCGGCGTACGCCGCGCAGAATTTGATGTACTTTGCGTGTTTGGACAGCATCTCTCCAGCAGGCTACCAAGTGCTCAGCCAGACGAAGCTCATCTTCACCGCCGGCCTCATGGGCGCGATGCTCGGCAAGCGCTTCTCGCCCAAGCAGGTCGCGGCACTGGTGTTGCTGCTCTGCGGCGCCATCTTCACGCAGCTCGGCGAGATGTCGGGTGCCAGTATCCTTGGTGGAAAGGGCAACGTTGCTCTTGGTTGCGGCCTCACGGTGCTCTCGAGCTTACTCTCCTCGTTGCCCAACGTCTTCTACGAGAGGGTCATGAAGAGCGATCGCGACGAGTGGACGTCGAACGTACAGATGACCATATGGACCCTATTCTGGGTCGCAGTCATGCGGGCGTGCAGCGCTGACGAGGGCCTGAGGGCCATGCAGGGCGGGCTCGCAGGCCTCACGAAGAGCGTCGTGCATCTCACCGCTGGTTTCACAACAGCTGTCTGGGTGATAGTCTTTCTTAAAACGTTAAATTGTGTAATCGTCCCCGCGTGCCTGAAGTATGCTGACAACATCCTGTATAGTTACGCGAAGCCAGTGTCGATTGTGTTGACGTGCGTGGCTACGGCGGCGATTACCTCAAGCCTTCCCGAGCCCAGCATGATGTTCGGGTTCACGCTGGTGCTGATCTCCATGCGTCTCTACGGTCGCGGTTGAACGCATTGTCTATTGGCTTGGAAAAAAAAGAACGCGATGTAGTTTGGCTCCATGTCCTTTCATAGCCTTTACTTGGCGTCGTTGCTAGTTTTTCCGGGCATGGCATTGGCGCGCAGAGAGGTTAGACATCCATATGTGTATATTATGGTCATTGTGTGACATGCCGTTCATGTCTTTTTGCCGGTACGTACTCGGAGCCGTTATTCTCGACCACCGCGTCCCCAACGGGCACGTCTCGAATCACGTTCATTGCTGCACACACTCCGACGCCGTTGCTCAAGCCGATTCTCGCCGATTCGAGTTCTCCCGACTCAGCAACCCTCCCGCCTTTCTGAGGAACCGTCTTGGGAGCTCCGTGTCCCTCCGACAAGCGTCGTGGCCCGACACATATGCCGATCTTGTCTGAGATCGGGTCCGAACCCTACCCCTTGCGACTCCAGTCGACGGAGGGGTATCGGACGCGCCGGTTGTGGTTCACTTACAGGCTGCAGACACACTTTGAATTCTCAGCACCGGCCATTTCTCAGAAGTCTGAACTGCAGGAGTAGGGTTCACAAGTGATTGCTCATCTCAGGATGCATTTCTTCGGTAGTTCAGTCCAGCATCGTCGCTGGTATATCTGTTGTCGAAATCGGCTCACTCCATCTAGTTTCATGTCGCTTCAGCCCGCTTGGGTAATTGGCCCCATAGGGTCCAATCAGTCCAACTCTTGCTCAGTGGCCCCCAAAGCGTGCTTCTTCGCCTTATGTCGGGTATAGCCAGGACCTCAGGTAAGGGGACCCGGTTAGTGGTAGGGTCCCATCGCCCCTAAATTGGCCAGAATCACTAAAACAGGTCTGCCGTAGCTGGTGTTGTTTCGGGTGACGGCATCTCCGGTTAGTGGAACGGGGAGGGGGGGAGCGTCCCCATTACACATCACTAAACCAGGTCCCACTAAACCCAGTTCTGCCAACGCCCGATTGTAGCCGTTCCCAACGAAGACCTCCCAGAAGCCGGCTCCTTGCTCATCCTCTGGGGCAGGCCAAGAGGGAGGTGATGACTAGGCATAAGTTGGGCCTGTCCCTCTACAGGAGGAACATTCAAAAGTAGTTGAAAAAAGTAGTCTGGGGACGATTCTGTGACCTTTTTTTGCGTATTTGAGGGCATTCTTTATACTATTTTTTATCTTTCGTCCAAAATCCCCCTGTAGGAGGACACGCCCGACCTGAGACCAGGGGGGGGGAGAGATATCATGGCCGGAGCCACGAGACCTCTCAGATCTCGCGGCACCCTGGGTCCCCTGGTCCCCCCCCCTCGGCCCCGCACGTCCCTCCGGCCATGGCCTGCGAACCCCCTTGCACATCAGGGCGCGAGCGAGATGTTGTTTTTCAGGAGGGGGAAGTACACACGCACAGTCACAGTGAATCGTCGATTCCCATGAAAATAGGTCGGAGGTTGATAGACCTCCTGCCCTGACGCGTCGATTAAGGAATTGGCCGTTCTCGGTTCGCGAGAGGGCGTCGCGGCTGTCATTTTGCGGGTCCAGGTCCGTCGGTTTCGGTCCCAGGCCGTTTTCACTAAGGGGAGGTCAACTGAAGGGAGGTTTGTCCACCGCCGAGTTGGACGCCCCCGGATCCTGGGCCAGCCGGACGGGGCCAGGACGAGGAGACATTTTTCCAGGAGCGTTCCAGAGCCCTTTCGGAGCGTCCCGTCCCAGAACAATATGAGAAGGCCGCGGCGCCCGAGCCACCCTCCGGAGCCGCTGGATCTCAGAGATTCTCGATTTATCTACGGGGCCCAAACATACATACACATCGCCACCACCACCACCACCACCACCACCGCCACCACCACCACCACCACCACCACCACCACCACCACCACCACCACCACCACCACCCCCACCACCACCACCACCACCACCACCACCACCACCACCACCACCACCACCACCACCTCACCTCCCTCACGGTCCCTCACCCCCTCCCCCTCCCCGGAAAGAGGAGAAGGAACAGGAGGGCAGAGGAGAAAAAAGGGAGCACCGACGTGGTGGTGGTGTACATCGTCTGGGCCCCCCACCCGCATTCTTACCCTCGCCCTGCCCTCGCCTTGGGAGCGCCTGGGAGCGCCTGGGAGCGCCCGGGAGCGCCCGGGAGCGCCTGGGAGCGCGTTTTGGAGCGCGTTTGGGAGCGCCTGGGCGCGCCCGGGGGCCGCCCGGGGAGGTCATGAAGTACCACCTCCGCCCGCACGAGATCATGGCCTCCCTGGTCGTGTTCCTCTCCTGCATGCTGTACCTGAAGGCGCGGGGCGCCCCGGCGGGCCTCGATGCGCGCGCGCGCGCTCGGCTAGACGTAAGAGTGACCTTTCGCCGGAGTGACCTTTGGTGCGGACCCAAATGGGCCCCCCGATCGCCGAGCGCGCTGCGATATCAGCGGCCTGCGCGCTTGGGTTTGGCTCCCCCGCGCCCCCCCCTGCTGCCGCGCACCAAAGGTCACTCTTACCCAGGGTCACTCTTGCGTATAGCCGAGCGCGCGCACTCCGCCCGCCGGCCGGCGGCAGATGCGCCGCCGGCGAGGGCGCTCCCCTCCCCTGCGCGGCCCCGCGGGTGGCAGCGTCGCAGCAGGAGGCCCCTCGCGGCGCCGCCTCCCTCTCCTTCAGGAAAGTAGACACACACACACAGACACCATGAGTCGTCGATGCCCCAGAAGGTATGGGAAACTATGGGAGGTGGGGGGGAGGACGAACACACCCAGAACAGATGGTAAAATGTGGGGGATCCTGGGATTTGTGTGTGTGTATTTTCTTGTGTGTCCCAGGACCCCTCCATCTCAGGCGATCGCAAACATGGATTAAGGGGGCGTGGAGTAACGACGGGCCCCGCTTTCATGAGGAATCGCGGATTCCCGCCGCCGAGCGAAGCGGCAGCAGCCGCATTTTGGGGAGGGCACCTCCCCCGATCCATGGATTTGGCGACCGCGCGCCAGATCCATGGATCGCTAATGCATGTTTGCGCGCCCCCGACCCTCGGAGGGGGACAAGCCAGGCTGCACCTGAACGAGGCTTTGCTCTGAGTTTCAAGCGTTTTGTTGTTGTTTGGTTTTGTCCTGGACAAGGTGCCTCGTCCTCGACAAGGCACCCGTACCGCTACCATTCCCTCGTGTTTCCTGGCGTTCGGCCTCCTGGGAGGCCCTCGCCGCCACCGTTGGATTCGCCTCGAAATCTGGGTCAGAGCGCACCCCAGGAGAGGTCCACGGGGTAGCGGTATCGGTATTTGTGTTCCCCATTCTTGCGGGCACGTTTTTTTCATCCACATGCACGGCGGGCGTCGTCGTCGTTTGGGGCGGGTCGGGGCGGGCAAGATTCACATCAGCTGCACGCAGGAGTGACCCTATAGGCAAGAGTGACCTCTGGCGCGCGGCTTGACTCAGGAGGGAACAAACACACACACACACACGAACACACACACACAGACACACAGACACACACACACACACACAGACAATGAATCCCCGACCCCCCAGAAAATATGGGAAACTATATGGAATATGGAAAGTGTGGGCGGGAAGACGAAACTCAACAAGAATATACGGCAGTAAGGAGAATCCTGGGATTCGTGTGTATTTGATAGTGTGCTCCAGGGCCCTTTTATTCACAGGGGGACGCGGTGTGGCCAAACCTGGGTGCGCAAGCCGCTGCAACCGCTTCGCGCTCAGCGATCGGGGCACCCTACTGGGCCCGCACCCGAGGGCCACTCCGGCGAAAGGTCACTCTCATGTCCAGTCGATCATTGCCACATCCTTTGCGTCTCGGACTTTCTGGGAAGGGTCGCCACACGGCCGAGGCGCAGTGGAGATGCATAAGAATCTAGCCTCTAGAGGCCACATTGGTTCCCGCATCATTTGCGCCTCGGGTTTCTGGGGAAGGGAGCCCGAAATTTCCAGATACAGTGGATATGGGTACAAGTCTTGCCAGATCATCTCCCTCTCCGCGATTACTGAGCATTCGAATTTACATGATCATAACTGTTGGAGGTCTGGTCCGCGCGGACTTCTTGGATCGGCGCCGGTGCCCCCCTCGGCGCCGCCCCTGGCGCGCTCCGCGCGCCAGAAACGGGGTCCAGTGCCGACGGAAGAAATCCTCGCGGACCTCCGACAACGCATGATTCAGGAGGGGAAACAACACACAGACACAATGAACCGTCGATCCCCAAGAAAAGATCGGAAAATATGGGACGTGGGGGGGAAGGCAGAAACCCAAACCATATAAGAAAATATGGGGAGTCCTGTTACTGGAGTGTATTTATTTGTGTGTCCCAGGGCCCCTTCAATGATCACGTCATCGTTGGCACGTCGAAGTGCGAGCGCTGCGCTCCGCTCTCCGCCGAAGATGGCCGGGGGGAGCGGCGTGGCCCCCCTCCGCGTGCTGCTTTTTTTTCGCCAGATGGCGCCGAGGAGCTGATTTATTCTCAGGAGGGGAAAAACACAGACACAATTCATCGTCGATCCCCAGGAAAACATGGGAATATATGGGGCGTGTGGGGGGGAAGGCCAAAACCCAGAAAGTATCAGAAACTACATAGGGGAATCCTGTTCTTTGTGTGTATTTATTTGTGTGTGCTGGGGCCCCTTCAATTATTCTTGTGTCGTGCGTTTTCAGTTGTTCCAAAACTCGTGCCCCCGCTGCAGCGAGGGCCCCATTCTAGGATCGGGGCTTTGCCCCCGTCGTACAACGTGGCGTGCTCGCACCAGCGCCGGCCACTTTTCTGGACCCAAGTCCTTCATCTTGTCACCCCCCTCGTCTTGTAGACGACGCCTTCTCCTGCTTATCCAGCTCCTTGCATTCCAGTTCCTGCTGCCCCTATTCGCCCTCGTCAACGTCCTCCTCCTCCTTCCTCATGTTCCTTTTCCTCCTGCTCATCTTCCTGCTCATCTGCGACCTCCTCCTGTGTGTACGCAGCTGCCCTATGCCGATTGAGCATAACAAGATGGGAACGCCCTCTATGACGCGCGTTTGCGGATAGAGACAACATCAGCGCAATAGGAAGGGATGTGTGGGAGGATAGGATGTCAGATATGGCGCGAGCGCACCTAGCTTGCCCTCGCCCTCTCCCTGCTTCCCCGCTCTTCCTGCCTTCCTCGCCCTACCCCACAGCTCTTCCTCCCCTGCCTCCCTCCACCCATTCTCGTCCTCCTTTCCCTCCTTCCTCCCCGCCCCCTTCCCATCCCGCGACAACGACGGCTTCTACGCCGACGACGCCGACTGCTGCTTCGATGTCGACGACGCTCGACGACGACGACACGACGACGCCGAGGCCAATATCTTCGACGACGACGCTTGACGACGACGACGATGACGACGATCGACGACGACGGCGACGACGACGCTCGTCGACGAAGACGACGAACGACCGCGGCGACGACGACGACGACGACGACGACGAAGGCGGCGGTGACGACGATGACGACGGCGGTGGCGACGGCGGACGCGGCCGCGGCAGCGGCGGCGGCGACGAACGACGACGACGACGACGACGACGAAGACGACGACGACGAGGACGACGACGACGAACGAGGATGAGGACGAGGACGACGACGACGACGAACGGCGACGACGACGGACGAAGACGGCGACGGCGACGGCGACGGCGACGACGACGACGACGACGACGGGCGTCGCGTGATGGGGGCGCGGTGACTTCACCGATCGCGTCCCGTTGCTCGCAAAGCGCCCACGTCGCAAGCTTCCGAGGAAAACACATCCGTCGTCCTCCCTGCGTGGTGGATCGCAAGACCCACGCGCGGCGGGTCCAGGCCTTTTTGGCGAGGAGGCCTCCTGCGCGAGACGTGGAGCGCGCTCGTTTTTATGCACCGGGGGGCGGCGAGGGCCTCCTCCCTCCTCCTCCTCCTCCTCCTCCTCCTCCTCCTCCTCTCCTCCTCCTCCTCCTCCTCCTCCTCCTCCTCCTCCTCCTTCTCCTATCCTCCTCCTCCTCCTCCTCCTCCTCCTCCTCCTCCTCCCTCCTCCTCCTCCTCCTCCTCCTCCTCATGCAAGACTTCAGGGATGTGTTGACTCTGCGTCAGTGGCGGGGTGCAGCAATTCATTACTGTGGGGCGGGTCTTGAGAATGGAGTGGATTGTGCTTCGTATCGCACGCTGCTCAAGCAATTGGAGGAGACACCTCAATACGGTCACCGCCTCGCAGCTGTTATGACTATGATTGCGGTCGGAGCGTCCTGGCCACGTGATAGGAAATGCGTTGAGATTCCTCAATTCCAGGGATCGAGGCTGTGTCAGCGCTGCAAGGAGGCCCCAGAGACCATGCTCCACCGTGGCTGGACGTGCCCCGCCAACGTCGGCAATGAAGCGTACAGTCGGTCAGATGAGATGGTGGCGCAGGCATCGGCGCAGTCGGAAATGGATCCAGGATTTTGGTTGAGAGGCATGCTTCCAAAGTCATGGACAGATGTACCCGCACCACCTACGCTTGAAGACTGGTCAGTTGCAGGTACGAATGAAGTATGCGATGTAGGATTTTTGGGAGAAGGCTCCCCCGAGGCCCCTCTCATCATTTTCGGGGATGCCTCTGGGGGCCCTGATACAGCTTCCCCGAAGTTCAGGCGTGTAGGGCTCGCGATAGTCCTCTTTGGCTCCCTAGAGCCCCAGGTCGACCTTAGGGTCACCATCCATGGGCCTCTCGTAGGTACGCGTCAGGCGGTCCCCAGGGGTGAACTCAGGGCCTTGGTGCTCGCTTGTTGGGCCACTAAGGGGGCCCTGCTATACGTTTCAGACTGTGAGCCCGTAGTTAAAGGATGGTACAGTAGGAGGTGGCTCTCTCCACAGGGGGAGGACGGGGATCTCTGGGCGTCTCTAGGCCAGCTGTTTGAGCTCCAAGGACGCGATCCCAACCTCATCACTGTTCTTTTTGTACATTCGCATCAGGAGGTGCAAGGTGGCGACCACAATCGTTCCAAGAGATGGATGATAACGGGAAGCGCCGTTGCAGATGCTGTAGCTAGTGTGGCTGCTCGCCAGGCCCGCCTGCCCGCGTCTATCAGGCAAACTGCTCTGTTGCATGAACGTCGTGCCCTTCTTGTACGCATGCGTCTGCTAAGGGCGTCTCTTGACACGTTTACTGCTGAAGCGTCGGTCGTGGAGGAAAAACGGAAACCGCACGTGAAACGGGTCCGACCCCCTTCTGCTGTTTCTTGCTCCCTCTTCTCCTCTCGGCATTGCTTAGATGAGTCTGGGAAGCGTTGCACGAGGTGTGGAGGATCAGCCTCCGCTGCCACCTAGACCGAGTTTTTGGAGAGCGATTGTTTTCAGCCTCTGAATTATGACGGGTCCCGCCTTTATGAACCCCCCATGCAAAACTGCACATTGCGGGGGGTTGGGTAGACCTGAGTCATGGTATGCAATATTCCACAATATTGATGCTCTGGTATTGTAAGTCGTGTGGCTGTTACGCATCGTCCGTGCTGCGCGAGTTAGGGAAGGGGTGCACAGGCAAGATCACCCCCAATCGGGCCGAGTACCTAAGTCGTATCTCCAGAGGCCTCTTTCCCAAGGTGTTGAGTGTTGAGTGCAGCAGAGAAGCGCACACGCGGGCATGTGTAATATGTTGGTGCCTCAGTGTTTCACGTGGAAGGCACTCGGTTGACTCTGTCACATGGTCATTCTCATTCTCATTCTCCTCCTCCTCCTCCTCCTCTTCCTCCTCCTCCTCCTCCTCCTCCTCCTCCTCCTCCTCCTCAAAGGGGGCCTGCAGGGCGCCCAGTAGAGTGCACCCGGCCTCCCTCGGCAGCGAGCGCGGAGGGGGGGGGCTGTGAGAAGGGGCGGTCGGGGGCGGCCAAGAGGGGGGTGATGACAAGGGGGGGGTGGATATCATGGCGGGGGCCGTGCTATCTCCCCGGATTTCATGGCGCCTCTTCTTATTTCATTGCGTCCCATGGCCCCCACCCTGGGCCGCGCGCGTGCCGCCGGTCATGATTTGCGCACCCCCCTCTTGGACGCCCCCCTCTTGGCCGCCCCCGCCAGAAGTCAGAAGGCTCGGAGGTCCCCCCGCCTTGGAGAAGTGGTCTGAGCCCTCCCCGAGGGCACGAAAAGCCTCTCAGCAGGCAGGGAGGCCGCCTGAGGAGTCTCGCCGCCTTCTGAGAGGGGCTTCTTCTTGGCTTCCCCCCCCTCGCTCGCCGCCGATTCTCCCCCCCCCATTTATCGCGCCCCCCATCAAGCGACGCGCTCAACCCTGGGACCGACCACGAGCCCTTAGATATCGTGCGCTGCTGGAGGTGCCCCCTGGCCCAAGGTGCCCCCAGGATCTCCAAGGAGGCCCCCATGGCCTCCAGAGCACCCCTCACGAGGCCCAGGGGGGCCCAGGGGCTCCAACTCATGGAGAACCTGTGTCCAGGGGCGCATTTGGAGCAACCCCCGATTGGAGGCCGACGTCGAAGGAGCAAAAACGGAGCGGAACTGAACGGCATCATCCCGTCCCCCGAGATCCGACGTTGCCAAAAATTGCGACACCGGGGAACGTCACGACCAGAGCCCGGGACCCCATCTTCCTGCATCAGTTTTCGAGCTGGATCGATCCGTGAGGGCCCCAGGGCCCGAAGTGGAGCGCGAACGCCAGCTGTAAAAGAGAATTGCAACGCAAGGATCTCAGGGTCGGGATCTGGGGCCGCCGCCCGTCGCCGCCGCCCGCCAGTCGCCGGTTGCGCCGCTGCCACTGGTCTGGGGGGGAGGAGAGGGAGGAGGAGGAGGAGGAGGAGGAGGAGGAGGAGGAGGAGGAGGAGGAGGAGGAGGAGGAGGAGGAGGAGGAGGAGGAGGAGGAGGAGGAGGAGGAGGAGGAGGAGGAGGAGGAGGAGGAGAGGAGGAGGAGGAGGAGAGGAGGAGGAGGAGGAGGAGGAGGAAGAGGAGGGAGGAGGAGGAGGAGGAGGGAGGAGGAGGAGGAGAGGAGGGAGGCAGGATCGGCATGAAAAGTACGCAATCGTACTAAGGAGGAGGAGGAGGAGGAGGAGGAGGAGGAGGAGGAGGAGGAGCGAGGGGGAGGGGGAGGGGGAGGAGGAGGAGGGGGAGGGGGTGGGGGAGGGGGAGTGGGGGAGGGGTGGGGCCGCCCTGCAGGACGGCCCGCTCGGCTTCGGCCAGCCGAAGGACACAATGCGCCCTCGCGGGGCCGCCTTGGGGGCAGCCACCCCAAAGATCCGACGCTCCGACAGAAATTTCGGTGGTTCAAAGATTCACGCAGTGGCGAAGCTCGGGCGATCGCAAACATGGATCAAGGGGGCGTGGATTTGCGACGAGCTCCGCTTCCATGGGAAACCGCGGGTTTCCGCCGCCGAGCGAGGCGGCACCGGCCGCACTTTGGAGAGGGCACCTCCCCCGATCCATGGATTTGGCGACCGCGCGCCTAATCCATGGATCGCTAATCCATGTCTGCGCGCCCCCGATTTAGGCCCACCAAATGATGTTCTAAGATCATTGTGTGGGCTGCACGAAATGTTCTCAGAACATGTCTGTCCGAGACTGTTTGGCTTGGCACATCGGGCTTATGTTCAAAGGGCATTGTACTTGTTTTCGGCGCATTTTCGGGTTCTAAGAACATTTCGCGGTAGGCGTATAGGGATGCGGGGACGGTCGGCCCCCTGCTCAAAAGATGGGGTCCTGAGGGATGGGATCCTAAGGACGAGGTGCCTCAAACTGTGTAGATCCACCCTTGGATCCCTTCCTGTCCTCGGGGCCCCATCCCTCAGGACCCCGTCCGTAAGCCCTTCGAGAATTGGAGTGGCCTCTGTTTGCGTCGCTCCTCCGCGGCCGCCTCGTGTCCTTTCTCCTCTCCTCTGCCCGGCGGGGCCACTCGCCAGGCCGTACAGCGGGGGCCCATGCCAAGGACCACCTTGCTGGCCTCCAGGGTGCCCTGGGTCTCTTGGGTTTCGATGGCTTTGCGCTGGGAAGCGCGACGTTCCCCCACAAGAAAATCATGGACGTCCTGGGGTGTCAGGGTTGGGTACAAGAAAGTCATGGACGTCCTGGGGTATCAGGGTTGGGTTTCTTGTGTAGGGTTTATTGTGGACTGGCCTCCGCTGTAGCCCTGGTTGCCTGGACGCGCGTGCGGCTTGCCGCTGCCGCGCTGCGACGGAAAAATGGTTGTTGGCTCTCACGGGGCTCTCAGCTTTAGGCCTCCTAGAGGGGGTCCGATTAGATGGGGTCGGAGGATCGCGCTGTATCGGCGATGCATCGGCAATGCGGCTCGATGTGGAGCCCGATCTTCTCCACGCTGGCGTCGCCGATGCATCGCCTCGCCGATGGATCGGCGGTGCGCCGCGATCCTCCGACCCCATCTGCACCGACCCCATCCAAGAGGCCTCTATCAACGGGCCCCAGGAGCGTCAAGCACCGACCGCGAACGAAAAGCCGGTCCTGGAGACGTCGTCCAGATTTCGGGGCCGACGCATCGAGGGAGACGGAGCGCCGGATGTTTGGGGACCACCGGGAGGGAGACGGAGCGCCGGATGGTCTGACCGATCTCCATCTTCATTGGGCCATGGTACCTCAGCCCCGCCAGCCACCCCCCCCAGGCCCCGCGAAATCCGTAGGGTACAGCACAACAGGGGGGGGTTGGTCGGCCAGTGGCGCCAAGGCCAGCGGGGATGGGATCGATTTAACGAAGCTCACCTCAGGCGGGCCACCCCAGCAGGGTCCGTTCCGATCAAGTGGATCCGATGCGATGTGCAGTCGGACAGAGGTATAAGATCGAGGTCAGCTCGGGGAGGGTACCTTAGTGTTTTTCGTACTTGTTCATCCTGGGGAGGACACCCTTGGATGGTTTTTGTGTTTTAGCCAGCGGTGGGTCTCATGTTCTTGAGGGAAGTTCTTCTAGCCTAGGTCCGACTGCAGATCTCGGTTGAGCTGATTTGATTCGATTTTAGCATTCCGACGATCCGATGTGGTCCGATGTTTTCACGGCGCGTTTGTGCATCTTGGCGCAGCCGATCCGATTCGATTCCGAATCCGTTCCGATGCATCCTGGTCCGACGCCCATTCCGATTCGAGTGATCGATGCGATGCTGGTCGATCTTGTCTCCGGCGTGGACCGAGGATCTCCGAGGATGTGTTTGTTCCAGTCCCCGGTCTTTTTCCTTGGGGCTTGATATCGGGCTCTGGGGCCTGGGGCGAAGAGTTGCTCCCAGAGGAGTTGTCGGGACTTCCTGGGGGCCGCGCACGGGGAGAAACCGCATCGGCCGGGCTGTCCGGGGATCACCGGGGGCCGAGGTTCGAGCATCGGTGCTGTTTGGCAGGGATGGTTCTGCCACTCGGAAGCCTCCTCAGGAGATCGGGACACGGAAAGCCAAGGAAGCGGCACCCTTTTCATGCAAAGGCGCAGGCCCACCCCCTCTTCCCTCCCGCATCCGGCCTCGCCTCCTCCCCTCCCCGCTCCTCCTCCCCCCTAGTCTGCAGAGACGGTTGCTTTGCTGCATGTCAGTAGTCGTAGTCAGTCGCAGTCAGAAGCTGTTCACAAATTGTTCGATCGCGTCTCAATCAAGCAAAGGCGCAGTTTTCAGCACCCGTGCATTCTTGGTCTGTTGCACTGCAGGATTCGGGTATGTGTCCGGGTTTGGGGCATCTTGTAGGCTTTTAGGGCATGCGTCCGGGTTTATTCTGGAAAGGTTGCAGTGCAGTTTTTTGTTCGGGTCGCTGTATGGACGAATTGGTTTCGAGGGATGTCGAGTGTCTGGGGCCTTGATCAGCAACCCTCAGTATGCAGGGCCGACCACCCTACGGGCCACTCTTCCCTTCCATTCTGGATGCCCCTCCCCCCCCAGAATGGAAGCCCCACCTCCGAGACTGAGGCCTACTGGATCGCAGAATCAAGAGTGGCACAACGCAAAAGTTCAGAGACGCGCGGATGCCTTGGATCTGGGTTGGACCCCCCCCCCTCGGCGCCGATCCAAGAACTCCGGGCGGACCTCCGGAAATTGACGTGCTTGTGCCGTTGTTTCTGCTCCTATGCCATGCCTCGAGGTCGTCGTCGCCCTGGTGCTGCGCGCCAGGCATGGCCGTCTACGATCCGATCCGATGCGATTCTGGATGCCCCTGCCCCCAAAATGAAGCCCCGACCGAAGCCGAGGGTTTGGATCGAAGAGTCACAATCGGCAGGCAGGGCGAGAGTTCAGAGACGCACGGGTTCTTCGGATCCTGGCTGGACCCCGCCCCCCCCCCGGCGCCGATCCAAGAAGTCCGGGCGGACCTCTGGAAGTTGATGTCTATGCAGCAGTTGTTGTCCCTACTCTATCCTCCTCCTCCTCCTCCTCCTCCTCCTCCTCCTCCTCCTCCTCCTCCTCCTCCTGGTCGTCGTCGCCCCGGCGCCGCGCGCCAGGACCTGGACGGCGGCGTCCGCAAGCTCTTCGAGAGGGTGGCCGTAGGTCGGCGGCGGCTCACAGTCTGAGGCCCTGGCCCCGTGCCCCATCGAGGAAGAGAGATACAGCATACCCGTCATTTCGGATGCCCAGGGGCAACGATAGGGGGGGATAGGCAAAGGGGGGATGCATCGACCCCCAATCGCCCCTTGATCGCCGATAGGGGCCCAACAGCCCCAACCCTATCCTATCCCAGGGGTCGATGTTTCCCCCCCTGTCCCTATCCCCCCCCTACCGTTGCCCCTCAGATGCAACTCCTGGGAGGTCAAATTCTGGTTCTGCCCTGGTCCGATCCGTTATTCCCGCTTCATCCGGCCTAATCCCGCTCAATCCCGCATAATCCGGCTCCATCTCGTTGAATCCGAGGCTCACTGCAGCGTAACAGCCCCCCGATGGGACTCAATCCTCCTTCATCTATCCGACGAGGACCTCCCAGCAGTTGCCTCATAACGTCATTAGTTGAAGATGCTGACCAGCCTCGAACTTATCCCTATCCCTGAGATTGACACGCCAAAAAGCGATGAGAATCTTAGGGATGCGCCCTCAAAAAATATGGGAATCCCTGAGATTGGCATCGCGGCGAGGCGATGCCCAGCTCAGGGTTAGGGATGTGTTCCAGGCCGGTAAGCTGCCAGAGGAGCGCGGCGGAGGCTCTCTGGGCGTGGAGCCTGCTCTCACCAGCCTGGATTATATCCCTATCCCTATGATTGGCATCGCCTCATCTCGATGCCGATCTTAGGGATTTCCTCCGTTTCTGAGGGCGCATCCCTAAGATTGTCGTCGACTTTTGGGCTTGTTCATCTTAGGGATCGGGATGCGTTCGAGGCTGGTTATAACTATGCTCTGTGGACCTCGGGCCGGCCGCGGCCTCGAAGAGGACTGCCCCCGTCCGCGCCCGCGTGCTGCTTCAACTCAGGAGGGGAAAAAACACACAGACACAATTAATCGTCGGTTCCCCCGAAAATATGGGAAAATATGGGAAGTGGGGGGGAAGACGAAAAACCTCAAAATATGGGGAAATATGGGGAATCCTGCTATTTGTGTGTATTTATTTGTGTGTCCCAGGGCCCCTTCATCAACGTGCCGCACAGCAGCCGCGAGGACTGCGCACTCCTGCGCTACAGTGATGATGTTCCAACCTGCTCTAGCCCTGGCCGCCAGACAAAGAATTTCGGGCGCCAGCCAAAAAAAAGTGCCGAAACTCGAGGGTTCTCACGGGTCGGGCCCTGGGAGACACTCGCCCGACACTGTTTCGACACTCTTTTGACACTTGTCTGGGTGCTCGAAATCATTTCTGGGAGATGCGGTCCTTCAGTTGGATGGAAGAAACATAACGCTACAGGCCTCCCAGATGGGGCCTAGGGTCCCCAGACATGATCGCGTTGAAAACAAGCATCGGGACCAGAGGCTTCTGCCCAATTTCGGCCTCGGGGGGGCCCTCGCCAGGCCTCGGGACCGTCGAAGAACGACTCAGGACGAAAGACCTGCCCGGGGGAACGGGTCGGGACTTCCAGGGACTCCGTATTGAAAAAATCCATACGTCGCGTGTTTGGGGCTCTTGCGCTACAGGCCTCCCAGATGGGGTCCGAGGTCGGAAGATCTACCTTGGCGATGCGGCTCGATGTGGAGCCCAGTTTTCTCCACGCTCCCGTCGTCAATGTATCCCTGCTGCATCGGCAGTGCGGCACGATCCCGACCAAAGCTGCCCGGATCCCATCTGGGAGGCCCCCACGTGCTCCAGGTTTCAAGCGATCTTGAGCCACCTCCCCGTGTGAACAGTCGAGCGAACTTCCCGCGGTGAAGCCCAGTCTAATCTGCTAGCATTCTTGCCTCCATCCGAGCAGTTTCTTTGGTTGGAGGGCAAGGGGTGACATCTGAAATGCCGTTTCGATTGGTGTCCGAGGTTTGTATCTGCAAAAGGGGACTCACGAGACGGGCTGACTTTTCGAGGTGCAAAAGCCCATGTGGATTTCATCCTGAGCCCTCCACCCTAGGAAAATGCTCTGGGAACGGCGGGTAAGCGTAAACTGTCGGAGGTCCGCGCGGATCCCTCGTGTCAGCGCCGGTCCCCCTTAGGCGCTCTGCGCTTCGCCAGCAGGGGAGGCGTCCCGCGGCGATGCAAGAAGTCTGCGCGGGCCTCCGAAGGTTTGTGCCCATGCTGTTTGCTCTTCTGTGCAATTTTCCGTTCCCCGTTCTGGGCGCGCCAGCTGGGCGCGTCTGCGGGCCAATACGTCTTCAAGCCAACACCGAGGAAGAGGGGTCCTGATGTTCTTCCTTGCTCCGCTTTCTGGTGTTCTAGACGCCTCGCGTGATGGGAGCATGCGATGGAGAAATGCCCCCCCCTCCAGGGGCCCCAAAATAATTGAGCCGGGCAGGCTAACACAATCCAGCCGCCAGAATTGATACATTAATCGTCTGCACCCCAGGCAATTTTTCTGCCGTCGTCGTCGTCGCTGTCGTCGTCGTGGTTGTCGTTGTCGACTAAGGCGGGCCTACGCAGCACCCCCCCTAGGGCATCCGCAGTGCGTCGTCGTCCGCCGTCGCCGTCGTCGTCCGTTGTCGTCGTCCTCGTCCTCGTCCTCATCCTCGTCGTCGTCGGTCGTCGTCGTCGTCGTCGTCGTCTCCGTCGTCGCCGTCGTCGTCGTGGGTCGTTAACGACTACGGCGGGCCTACGCAGCACCCCCCGCCAGGGCATCCGCAGTGCGTGCGTCGTCGTCATCCGTCGTCGTCGTCGTTGTCCTCCGTGGTACTAGTCCTCATCCTCGTCCTCGTCCTCGTCTCGTCGTCGTCATCGTCGTCGTTGTTGTCGTTTTCGTCGTCGACTGCAGCGGGCCTACGCAGCTACCCCAGCACGCCCCCCATAGGGCATCCCTAGCGCGTCGTTGTCGTCGTTGTCGCCGTCGCCGTCGCCGTCTTCGTCCGTCGTCGTCGTCGTCGTCGTTCTCGTCCTCGTGCTCGTCCTCATCCTCGTTCTCGTCGTCGTTGTCGTCGTCGTCGTCGACCACAGCGGGCCTATGCGGCACACCCCCGTCCATAAGGCATCCGCAGTGCGTCGTCGCCGCTGTTGTCGTCGTCCGTCGTCCTCGTCCTCGCCCTCATCCTGGTATTCGTCATCGTCGGTGTCGTTGACGTCTTCGTCGTCGTCCGTCTGGTTGGCGCACATCTCGTTCGCGGACGACCGCGGTGACTTGGAGGAGGAGGCGGAGGAGGAGGGAGGAGGAGGAGGGCGAGGAGGAGGAGGAGGAAGCGGAAAAGGAGGAGGATGGATGGATGGATGGGACGTCATCAAAGAGGCCCGTGCGGCCGTCCGCAAGCAGACGACCGCCAGGGCCCCAGATGTCACAGAGTCCTCTACGCGGCCGCGCTCCCCGCGCGCGGCCGTGGCGCACTCGTCGGCGGCGCCCGAGGCGTGTCCGCTCGCTCCTCGCCACCGCGCGCGGCCTGGGGGGCTGCAAGGTCCTCCGGGCGCGGCGGTGGCCCCGCTGGGCGCCGCACTGGCCCTCCGCCAGCCGCCACGGCGGCCAGCCGCTCCTCACCCCTGCGCGCGGCCTGGGGGGGGGGGGGGGGGGGGGGGGGCAGGGGCCCCCCAGGCGCGGCCGGGGCCCCGCGGGGCGCCGCGCCGGCGGCACACTTCCCCGCACGATGGGCGGGCCGCTCCTCCCACCTGCCGCGTCTCGCCGCCCCTCCGCGCGGGGCGGGCGCGAGGTGGCCCCTGGCTCGGGGGCGGGGCAACGAGGTGCTCAGCGAGCTGCTCCCCGCCCCGCCCAGACCTTCGCGCCGCCCCTCCTGGCAGTCGGGGTCCCGCCCACGCCCCCCCCCCCCCGTTCAAGCGGCGGCACGCCCTCCCCCTCCTCGCGCCAGCGGCGGCCCACGGGCAGGGCCGCGGGCCCGTGGCGCTTCGGGGGGGCCCCCGGGCGCCCCGGCAGCTTGAACCACTTGCAGCAGAGGGGGGATCACTGCGGCAGACGGGGCGGCCGCCGCAGCTGCCGTCGTGCCGCACCTGGTGAGCTGCGCCAGACCCCCTTTCGGCCAAGCAGGCGGGGACGGCGAGGGAGGCGGTGGCGCCCTGCGGCTGGCAGCAGCTCTGGACGGTGAACGGCTCCTGGATCTGGGTCGTCGGGGCGGCGGGGACCAGGGCGGTTGCTGGTCGGCTGCTGCCTGCCGCGCTGGGCGGCTTCTCCCCCACGCCTCACGCAGCTCACTGGACCTCCTCTGCCTCGTGCGCCAGGCCCCTTCAGGTGACAAGGCCACAAAGAGGGCGCGGAACGGCTCCGTCGCAGGGAACGCGGACATCTCCTCCATGCAGTGGGCCATCCACCCTTCGTACCCACCGTCGCGCATGGCCAGATCGGGGAGATCCACCGCCCAGCGAGGTCGGCCAGCCCGTCGAGGAAGTGCCTGGGCCGCTGCTCTGCCTGGTGTGCATGGGAGTCCGTGGCCGCGGCTGGCTGGCCGCCAACCAGAGTGCGTATCCACGAGCATCGAATTTCCTTCGAGGCTGCAGCACGACGTGGCGACTTTGAGCCTGGGGTGTTCCCTCTCGTAGGGGGCGCTTCCCCAGGACTTTGCGATCTGACGCCTGCAGCGCGACGTGGCGACATCGTGCCTGAGGTGTTCCCTCCCGTGGGGGCTTCCTGGGGTCTGTGGGCCCCCCTGCCGATGCCGCCGTGGATGTCGCCCTCGGCCATGACGTGGTACTGGCCCTCCCCTGAGCACGTACACTGTGATGGTAGTCAAGGGCATTCTCGAGGGCGCGAAGGTATTCGCGCCTCGCCGTTCGGCTCCGATTCCTTCTCATCCTCCTCTTCTCCCCTGGGAGGCGGCGCGAGAGCGCGAAGTTATTCGCACTTCGCGCAGCGAAGTTGGGAGCCCTTGGTAGTCCCCGAGACTTCTCCATTACGCCGTACAGTCGGGGCCCTGAAGAAGGAACCCTTTTCGTTGGGGAGGGGCTCCGCGTTCCTTGAGTTCTTCGCAGCTTGCCTCAGGTTTTCCTTAGGTTTTTTGAC